GTTTTCAGTTAAAATACTGTTATATTACAATGATATTCTATTCATACTGTGCTTGATATACTACATTCACGGAAATGTAATATTTTTGCTGAAATGATGTACGTATTACAGTGGAAAATGGGATAAAATCGTGACGAAAACAATGATTTTCGCTTTCTTTCGTTCAAAAGATGTTACCGTAATCGCTTTTCAAATGGTTTTCAGTTAAAAAATTGTTGCATCACAAGTGAATTAGGATGGAATATTATTGTAATACAACAGTTTTTAACTGAAAACCATTCAAAAAGCGATTACGGTAACATCTTTTGAGCGAAAGAAAGCTAGTCATTGCTTTCGTCACTTTCCACTGTAATACGTACGTCATTTCAGCAAAATATTACATTTCCATATTCTCAGAAATAAAGTGTTTTGCTGAAACGTAATGCATTTCAATGTAAATTAGGATAAACTACATGAAAACAAAAGACTTTACCTAACCTTCCGATGTTCAAGATATGTTACTCGTTTTTTTAGTAGTTTTCGGTTAAAATACTCTTATATTAGTGATATTCTATTCATACTGTGCTTGATATAATACAGTGGGGTATGCTATAACGAACGGTTTTACCTATAAAATTGAGATTGCTATAACGAACGAAACTCCTACAACGAACATTATTTAGAAAAAAAAATTAATTTTTTTCTTTTTTTTTTACTAATTTATTGTTTTTTTATTACAAGTATTAATGATGTTCTTTATTTCAGGGGTTTAGATGCTTATTTATGCACTTTTTTACAATTTTTACAATTTTATATTATATTTTTCAGTGTTAAGTGGTTGTATTTGGGGGCCTGGAGCGAATTAATCCTATAACGAACAAAGTTCTAGAACCAATTAGATTCGTTATAGCATACCCCACTGTACATTCACGGAAATGTAATATTTTTGCAACTACAATGCTGATGTCAACACAAGCGTGGTTACAGCGAGACTGACTGAGTGAGGGAGAGCTATGCGTGTGTGTGTGTGAGGTTGCGGGAGCGGGCGGTGTCCTGTGTGAGGTGCCGCGCGCGAGTTGAATGGCGCGTGATTTGAATGTACAGTCGACCCTCGTTAATTCGGACTAATAGGGGGGGAAGGGTGTCCGTTTTAGCCGATTGTCCGAATTAACCGATTTAGGGGGTTAATATTGCATTATATTTCAAAGTCATTGTTTTCGTCACGATTTTATCCCACTTTCCACTGTAAAACGTACGTCATTTCAGCAAAAATATTACATTTCTGTGAATGCATTACAGTGACCCCTCGTTTAACGAACGCCTCGGTTAACGAAATTTCGGTTAACGAACTGCCTTCCATAAGGATCTTCAATTCGGTTAACGAACAAAAATTCGGTTAACGAATTTCTTACGAACCGACCTCAACATGTTTTCGCTTGCACTGACCAGGCAACCAGCTTTAGTGTCAGTTCGCCAATAGATTAATTGGTTCTAGGGCTTAAATTCCTTACTATTTTAGTAAATATCAAGAAGTTTATACTATTCAATAATTTTAAAAGTTTAATATTCAATTTTTTAGTCATTTTAACAATTATTGAACATAATTGAAGGTTAAGTGACTAGTTTAATGCATGGCATCCAGCCTCTTAACACAGCAAACAGGCGTTAGTCTCTCTGTTTTCACTGGAGGTAACATCTTGCTTGAGACTCTCTTCAACTAAACGCTTTTTTTCTGTGTTTCCAAGCAAATTATTGGTCATTTTGAACTATATTTTACATATTGACAATATATAATGCGGTGCAGTGTTGATTTAAAGAAAATAATCTTGAATTACACCAAGAGAGCTAAAATTTTAATGGTGAAATGGCGCCAGGGTGACTTCTCTTCCACCCCAATGCCTTCTCTTCTTCCTTCTCCTCCACCCCCATTCTAAATCCCATCATCATCATCATCATCCAGGAGCCTTCTACATACACACCTCAAAGTAAGTGTACCTTTCTACCATTTTTGTTGAATTTAGGAAATTTTCGGTGAGCTGGAACCAATTACCCAAAAACCCATTGAAACAATGGTTTCGGTTAACGAACTTTTCGGTTAACGAACGACCTTCTGGAACGGATTGAGTTCGTTAACCGAGGGGTCACTGTATATCAAGCACAGTATGAATAGAATACCATTGTAATATAACAGTATTTTAACCGAAAACTATTAAAAAAACGAGTAACATCTCTTGAACATCGGAAGGTTAGGTAAAATCTTTTGTTTTCGTCATGTATTTTATTCTATTTTACATTAAAATACATCACGTTTCAGCAAAACTACTATTTATTTCCGAGAATATATTTATTCAGGCGCAGTTTAGGTAAAATATACGTGTGATGTAACAGTTTTTTAACTGAAAACGATTCGAAAAACACGTACCCTCTAGCCTTGTTCAAGGAGAGGACTGGGAGAAGCTGTTTGGTGCTGCAGACTATGGCAAGGAAAATGATTTTGATGGATTTTAATGAAAATATTCAGAAATTTGGTATCGTAGTATTTATTCAAGTCAATTAGGATAGGATATTATTGTAATACAACAGTTTTTTAACTGAAAACGATTCGAAAAACACGTGTACTGTCTAGCTGATACTGAACAGCTGGTGGTGCGTCATGCGTCGTTGTAAACAATAGGAGGTTGAAGTAGATTACCGGGTATTATATTAAGTGTGAAATATGAAAAAGGTTTTTATTACCGGTATTTTTTGTAGATCAATGAGAACTGTGATACCGTATATGATATGATAAGTTAGCCTGTGCTAAGAACTTCAACATAGACTACTGAAAACACGTTGTAAGGTAATTTAGCCTATTGTAAGTTGGTGAGCTTCATTTGCTGAAGGAACTGCACAACTTTTCATTACTAATTGGTACATATTTTACGTTTCCATTGTTTACTGGCAGTAAATGGTAAATATTTTTCATGTCTGAAGCTAAAAGTTGCATCCCCCCCCCCCCACACTAGTGGTGGAGATGTTACATTTAACCAAAAAGACGCTGGTGTTTTATCCCAGCAGTGGGTGGACCAGCATTTTAGCTTAAGGTCCGCGTAGGTAATATTCCTACAAATCTAAAAAAAAAAAAGTTCGTTCAGATTTTGTCCGAATTATCCGAAATCCGGATTAAAGGGGTCCGAATTAACGAGGGTCGACTGTACTTCAATTACTTCAATGTACAGAATATTCCTCCCGTGGGGCAATCCATGTATTTGCAAATCCGTGTATGCTAAACCCGCGTATGTTAAGGGTCGACTGTACAGTAGTACTCAAGTAGAAGTAAAAAAGTATCTCATTCATAAACTACTCAAGTACTGAAAATAAAAAATAACGACTAAATTATTAATTGTCTCGAATATTAAAAACACAATAAAAAAATAGTTAACCAAAGATAAAAATAAAAGACACTGCATTACACATTTTTTTTTGCAAATCTTTCTATTGAGATTAATCAAGAACTGATTCTCAAAGTTATGGCTGTCCAATCAGGATCTTTTAGGCCTAAATATAAGCCCAGCATGACCTACCGAATGAGAATATGTTCAACTGTTCTTCTCCCTGCAATCCATCGCAGGGATAGTGAATGGGATGAAAATACAGTATATCCATCCAATACTATGATCACTTTCTTCCTTATCCACACAAGTATCATTGATGTGGACTTATGGTCGTCAGACATAATGATGTCTCTGCTTGCATTTGGTTAGGATACAGACATTTCTGGCATGTATCTGAGGTGGGGGATGACCGCACTTCTCTTCCTGTAAACTCTGTAATTGTCCCATTGTTAATATTCTTCAACACTACTGTATTGCCTGACTGTCCCACTGTCAGGGATCTCCTGCCACATGGAGTCACTAACTACTATGTCACCACCTACTTATTTGTAATAATTTAGATTTAATTCTTGTACAGTATGCTACCCACGCTTTGGTGGGTGCTAACTCGCATTGTTCTTAAATCATATCTATAATGTCTCCATATCACAAGTCATAGCATATCCTGTGAGACACAAGTACCAATGTCTTACTGTCTGACCACATGGTCTTGTGACTAGGCTTGTCGCCCCTGGGGTGTAATGAATTAATTAAATAATAAGCCCAACATGACTAAACAGATGCTCACAAGCAGCAGAGGCAGGTAGTGGGGTGTTAAGCTTGAGAGATGAGTCACATAATGTCAGGAAAGATCTCAATAGCTCCATTCCATCCCCTGGGCATTCCAAGTGGCTACAGTATCAAGCTCCTTCAGTTGAGGAGTTTGTGGATGAATGTTGCCCCACAGTGACTGGATCTGACTAAGACCTACCGTGAACTGTCCCCCAATTGGAGTGTGGCTCTGGTGACATCACTTTTTTATTTTTAATTGATAATAAGCGGCTGAATTATTTGCACCGTATAAGATCTAGCAGGTGCTGGTTTGGGGTCACTTATTTAAGCAGTATTTTAAATACACTCAGTCTCACATATGTAAAGACACAGGCTTTATATTTAAGATGGAATTATGTAAATTATTTTAAAATCACAGCATCTTTGAAATTCATTTTAGGTACAGGTATCTGCAAAGACCAACTGACATGTATTTATAGCACTCTTTTATAACAAATATTTAAAATTTTCTAACATCCACTTTGAAGTGCTAATGCCTTGAAATTATTTGCATTTTGATAGTCAATATTCTGTACTGTATTTAACATTATTTTAGATAATAACAGGTCTGCTTACCAATTGTGAACACATTTAGTTTGGATTTTCTATGAACCAATCAGCTATTAGCATAGAAGAGGGGAGGGGCCTACGGGCCAGGTTAGTGTGGAAAGTGTACTGTATAGTTAATGAAATTGTTATAATCACTTGTGGATTCTAGACTGGTGGTATTACGTGCATAAGTTCTGTACTTGAGCTGCTTAGTTCAAGGCTTGGCCATGAAATGGAATTTCGGGATCAAACCTTTGTGTCTGTATTCTAATTTCTCAAATGTTTCAGATCCGATGCCTTGGGAATCCAAATAAAATTCATGGCACGTGTAAGTTATGGATAGAAGGACGTTGCAAAAAACCACGAGATGTGTGTGAATATCTTCACAGCAATTTTTGTCCTGAGAAGGATAAGTGTAAGAGAGAGCACTGCCCTCTGCATCATATCAATCAGCTAAGCAAAAAATTATTCCCTCTTAGAAAGGTGAGTATGTGCAGGAGCTGCTTCTTGGCTGAAACCATACAAGAAATACATTCAAACTACTGTGCCATCCATATGGGATTTTTTTCTCACTAAGTTTATTCCTGATCTAAGTCATATCATGTGGCCAGAATTCTAATTACTGTACCCAGTATGCCATTTAAAAAGTGAAATTAAATTTTTGTTGTACATTTAATACAGAGGGATGACTGACTTAACCAATGCTCATGAAAGGCTTATGCTGCCTTATCCCCTTCCCTTGGGCTCCAGTCCCCAAAAATAGCTCTTTCCACCTCTTAGTTGGGCTATGACCACTATATTATGTCTATCACTACCAAAAATGTCTGGCTTTGCTCGGGTTACGTTTACAGTATGCAGTAGGATCTCATGTTTTGCGACTAATTGGTACCTGTTTTAGTGTCGCGAAAGTTAAAACTGCGAAACGAGTGACATTGAAATACTACAGTGATATCCCTGTTAGCCGGAACAATTGGTGCAGATCACTTCCGGGGATAAGAGATTTCCGGCTAACCGGATGACTTTTTCAAACCCGGAAAAATCCCCATCCCCGGAAATATTTCCGGTTACTGGAAAAACTTTCCGAGTGTCTAAACTACCTATGCATCTTGCACAGACAAACACTAGCCCACATCCTCAGAATGTTTCTGTGTGCTGGGGAGTTTTTAAGAGACCTAAACTAAAAATCTATATGATATGGTCGTGAATGAAGCTGTGTGTTACAGCAAGGACTGGTATTTTCCACTCCCTTAGAGCTGTGGGGGATTCGTGGGTCTTGTGTAACTGACCTGACCTGACACAATGTCATGTGGAGGTATGGTGGGGTATTAGTGATCTCATATTACTGGCCTTCTGATACAATGTCAGGTTACCCATTGTCGGGTGGGGTATGAGTGAGTCTGAGGACCTGAAGATGTCTTGAATAAACCTGAAAGCTAAAATACAGTATTTTTTATACTTACACTTGTCGCATTATATCTCTTCAACATTACGTAACATAATTTTTTTAAATGTGGAGTGGGAAAGCAGAAAGGCGTGGGTGATTAGAGAGATGGAGTGGAAAGGAGTGGTAACATGCACCAGTGTTGCTAAGCTCCTCATTAGCTTGAATTGAATTGAATTGAATTGAAACAGCTTATTTAGCCAGAAAAACACAGATACAGAGTGGATAATAATAACAATATTAACATGGCTGAGCCAGTTGAGAACCTTAGCTCTCCTGGAGACACCTGATATATACTGTACATTTATCTCAAGGAAGTATTATGTAACATTTAGTATCATCTGGAATAATACATCTTGGTGTATTTCAAGATTATTTTCTTTAAATCAACACTGCACTGCATTATATATTGTCAATATGTAAAATATATTTCAAAATGACCAATAATTTGCTTGGAAACACAGAAAAAAGCGTTTAGTTGAAGAGAGTCTCAAGCAAGATGTTACCTCCAGTGAAAACAGAGAGAGAGAGACTAACGCCTGTTTGCTGTGTTAAGAGGCTGGATGCCGCTCATTAAACTAGTCACTTTACCTTCAATTATGTTCAATAATTGTTAAAATGACTAAAAAATTGAATATTAAACTTTTAAAATTATTGAATAGTATAAACTTCTTGATATTTACTAAAATAGTAAGGAATTTAAGCCCTAGAACCGATTAATGTATTGGCGGACTGATACTAAAGCTGGTTGCCCGGTCAGTGCAAGCGAAAACATGTTGAGGTCGGTTCGTAAGAAACTCGTTAACCCAATTTTTGTTCGTTAACCGAATTGAAGATCCTTATGGAAGGCAATTCGTTAACCGAGGCGTTCGTTAAACGAGGGGTCACTGTATCAAGATTGGGAGGTCTATATATTATTCCTGTGATTAATTTTTCCCTACCGTCGCTTAATTCTATCCAAATTGTTTCTGTATTCCGCTCAGTTTTTATTTCCTTATTTATTTCACACTTCAGATTATCCCTAACATAGATTGCTACTCCGCCTCCTTTCCTGGACGGCCTATCAGTATGGAACAATTTGTAACCCGCAATTTGGTATTCGACCGGAAACTCACGTGAGTCTATGTTGATCCATGTTTCAGCGAATGCTATTATATCGATTTTTTCGGTACATACCAAGGCCCTAATATCATCCATTTTGTTTCTCATACTTCTACTGTTCGCGTAGTAGACATTTAAGTTAGTCGTGTTCTGAGTCCTCCCTTTACCGCGTTTAGTTTTAAACTCCCTGTTTAATTTAGTTTTGTCATCATTCCTAACACTATTTCCCTGTAATCTTTTACTTTGTTTACCCGCTCCCACTGCAGTTTCCTCCACCCCCGTGCCCATATGTTCCCCTAGCAGTTTAAAGACTTCGATACCCTTTGAACTGCCCCCTCTAGAGACCCAGCCAGGGTTGCCACCCCATCCCGAGACAGGTGCACCCCATCCCTAGCATAAAGGTCCCTTCTGCCGTAGAAGTTGTCCCAGTTGTCAATGAATGGGACAGATATTGACTTGCAATATCCGTCAAGACGGTCGTTGACACCAACTGCCCTTGACAACCATTCACTGTGTAGTTGGCGATGTTAGGGTGTGCGTGTTAGAGGGTGTGTTGGTGGTGGTGTTAGGGTGTGTGTGTTAGAGGGTGTGTAGGTGGTGGTGTTAGGGTGTGTGTGTGTGTTAGAGGGTGTGTAGGTGGTGGTGTTAGGGTGTGTGTGTTAGAGGGTGTGTAGGTGGCGATGTTAGGGTGTGTGTGTTAGAGGGTGTGTGTAGGTGGTGTTAGGGGGTGTGTAGGTGTGTTGAGGGGTGTAGGTGGTGTTAGGGGTGTGTGTGTGTTAGGGAGGGTGTGTGTGTGTGTGTGTGTGTCAGGAGGGTGTGTAGGTGGTGGTGTTAGGGTGGTGTGTATGTTAGAGGGTGTAGGTGGTGGTGTTAGGTGTGTGTGTTAGAGGGGTGTGGTGGTGGTGTGTGTGTTAGAGGGTGTGTAGGTGGTGTTAGGGTGTGTGTGTGTGTTAGAGGGTGTAGGTGGTGGTGTTAGGGTGTGTGTGTGTTAGAGGGTGTGTAGGTGGTGGTGTTAGGTGTGTGTGTGCAGGAGGGTGTGTAGGTGGTGGTGTTAGGGTGTGTGTGTGTTAGAGGGTGTGTAGGTGGTGGTGTTAGGGTGTGTAGGTGGTGGTGTTAGGGTGTGTGTGTGTGTTAGAGGGTGTGTAGGTGGTGGTGTTAGGGTGTGTGTGTGTGTTAGAGGGTGTGTTGGTGGTGGTGTTAGGGTGTGTGTGTTAGAGGGTGTGTAGGTGGTGGTGTTAGGGTGTGTGTGTGTTAGAGGGTGTGTAAGTGGTGGTGTTAGGGTGTGTGTGTTAGAGGGTGTGTAGGTGGTGGTGTTAGGGTGTGTATGTGTTAGAGGGTGTGTAAGTGGTGGTGTTAGGTTGTGTGTGTTAGAGGGTGTGTAGGTGGTGGTGGTGTGTTGACGGAAACATAAGAAAATAAGGAGTCTGCAATAGGCCAGTTGGCCTGTGCATGACAGCTCTTGTCGAGTGTAACTACCACTCTATCATCCATGAATCTATCTCGCATCCTTTTAAAACTTTCCAGCATTCCAGCACTTACTTCAAAGTTGCCAAGCTTGTTCCACTCGTCCACCACCCTATTTGTGAACCAGTTCCTTCATATCTCCCTCCTAAATCTAAACTTATCCAACTTAAATTCATTACTACGAGTCCTATCCTGCTCTGATATTATAAGAACTTTATCTATATCTCCTTTATTGATTCCTTTCACCCACTTAAACACTTCTATCATATCTCCTTACACTCTTCATCTTTCTAGGGAATGCAAGTTTCTTTAACCTATCATGATATGGAAGGTTTCTAAGTCCTGGAATTATTTTTTTCATTCTTCGCTTCACCTACTCCTGTGAATTGATATCCATTCTATAATAAGGGCACCAGAACTGAACAGCATAATCGAGGTGCGGCCTGACTAGCGCAAGATATAGTTGCAATGTGACTTCTGCACTCTTATTATTTACACTTCTAGATATAAATCCTTATACTGTACTCTGTTTGCCTTATTTCGAACATTAATGCACTGTTTTCTAGGCCGTAGGTCCGGGATTACAAGTACCCCTAAGTCTCTTTCACAAGTCTACTTCTCTAGGTTGATGTTGTTAAGGCTGTATACATTGACATTATTTGTTCTTCCAACATTAAGTACGCTGCACTTGCTGGTGTTGAATTTCGTTTGCCATTTTTCTGACGACTCCTGCAGTTTATTTAAATCCTTTTGGAATGCATTTGCATCCTACCCTGAATTAATTTGCCGCCCTATTTTGGTGTCATCCGCAATCTTGATTATGTCACTGCTGATCCCAGTATCTAGATCGTTTATGTAGATTATGAACAAGAGTGGGCCCATATAGTGTTTCTCACTCCTGATCTTTTTTTTATTTTTTTATTTGGTTCTTTATTATTATTATTATTATTATTATTATTATTATTATTATTATTGTTGTTATTATTATAATTATTGTTGTTGTTGTTGTTTGGTTGTTGTTGTTGTTGTTGTTGTTGTTGTTGTTGTTAATGCATTTTCGCCCCCGAGGCCCCGATGTGGGTCAGTGACTTGTGCCCGGGTGGGCTAATCCCTGGAAAAAAAAAAAAATTTCATTGTCCAGCAGCCAAATGGCAGTAGTTTAGTATTTTTATCTAATGGTATTATTTTGTATTTATTCCTTGCATACATAGTGGTCCCTCGGTTAACGAATGCCTCGGTTAACGAATTACCTTCCTTAAGAATCTTCAGTTCGGTTAACGAAAAAAAATTCGATTAACGAAATCCTTACTAAAATCACGTTTTGTTGTGAGCATCAGCTGATGGCCCAGTCTGCCAATTTAGTAATCTGTTCTATGTTTACATTCGTTTCCAAAATATTAGTCATTTTAACATTTATTTAACGTATTGATAATATTTGCAGTACAGTACAGGGAACTAGTTACCGGGTAGTTGTGCAACCATCAGATGCGTGGTTTGCTCACAAAGCGTCAGTTGAGCATCAATTTTGTTGGTGTCTTGAATATTTTTGCATTTTTCATTGAAATTATTGGTCATTCTGAACTTTAGTTAACATATTGATAATATATAGCGCAGTGCAGAGTTGATTTAAAGAAAATAATCTTGAATTACACCTAGTGAACTTAAAATTTTATTGGTGAAATGAGGCATCAAGTATGGGTTTCCTAAAAGGTGATTTCTCCTCCATCCCCACTTCCTTCTCTTCTCCTCCACCCCCACTTCTAATTCCCATCATCATCATCATCATCAACCAGGAGCCTTCTACATACACACCTCAAAGTAAGTGTACTTTACTGCATTTTTTTTTTTTTTTTTTACTCTGTATGTATGGATTCGGTTAAAAAAAATTCGGTTAACGAACGACCTTCTGGAACGAATTGTGTTCGTTAACCGAGGGACCACTGTATTGGTAAATTTTATTTCTCATCAGAGTTGGTAACTGGAGGGACTTCAGTTTCAGAGATGGCAATTCTGTTGATATTGTCAGCTGTTGTGGTGGTGGTGGTCACAGACAGGACTCTGTATTGTTGTCTTGTTATAAATTATGTTGGATTATACCAAATATTTCTCAAAAGCTACGGTCAAATTATAGGTTGATTTAGCAATGAGTAAAAAGGAATAGGGTTCCATCCTTCATTATTCTTTGTTGTTGTGATGCAGGCTGGGCTGGCGGGAACATGTGGTCCCAGCCGCATCGGTCCACAACAATAACAACGACCCACAAGAAACAGTGCCAACATATTTTTTTGAATGTTTAAATAAATTTTTTTCCATGATTCGTGTCATTATTCGGACGTTTTGTTAATCAGTTGTCCGGTACTGGGGGTGTTTACTGTACAGTATATATTGGTGTTATTATTATTATTATTATTATTATTATTATTATTATTATTATTATTATTATTATTATTATTATTATTATTTTTATTATAATCACTGGTATTTCTTTCCATGGTCAGACAGGAATTGGAAATGCAAAAAGAAAGAAGTGTAATCAGCAGAAGGAGGCTGGCCTGAAAACCAATTCTCCAACAAGCAGTAACAATGGGGCTTCTAAAAGTCAATCTGCTTCACCAGACTGGAACCTTAACTCCTTAGCATTTGATGACTTTGATGAGGAATTGTGTCAAGGGCTGGAAGAAGTTGGGCAGGAACTGGATCGATTTGCAGAGGAAGTGTCAGAAGACAGCACCTGTGAGGACGAGATATTGTGTCTGACAGAACAGAAAGAAAACTACCCGTCTAATATTTCTTTCAAGGGTAAAAAGCCACTGAAGAATGAAGAAGCTTTTAAACTTGCATGTGACCAAAACAGGTAAGATCTGAGTAAAATTTTACACATATTTATAGACAAGATATAACAGAAGTCAAGATATTTTGTCTTTGAGAATACTGCCTGTGTCTATAATGAAGTGAATGGTTTTACCTTACTATCATAGTAAGAATTAATAATTTAGTTTGTTCAGCCTTAATGGATTCTTGACAGTTTTTAGTACATGAGGATTACATATTCCCTTCGCCTTGCTCCACCTCCCTTCCTCAGTAAAAGTAACATTTTGTTCCAGTTATGCAGATTGAAACCTGAAGTCCATTGATTCAGGTTGCAAAGGTTTAAAAGTGTTGTTTGTATTATACAGTAATATCTCCATTAGCCGGAATCCCTCAAACCTGGAACTCTCCGATAGCCGGAATTTAAATTTTCTCGGAATTTTCCAGAAAATTCCGGCATTGGGAACGATTTTCCAAGGGGCACATTTTACGGAAAATTCCGAGAAAATTTTCCCGATACCTGGAAAAATCCGGGGATGGGGAAGTTTTTTCCTGGTTTGAGAGATGAAAATCAGGCGCTTTTTCTGGAATTTCCGAGAAAATTTTTCAGTAACCCGGAAAATTCCGGGGATGAGGGATATTTTTCCGGGTTCAAGATATGATGTAATGGGCATATTCTGGAAATTCCGAGAACATATTTCCGTTGCCCGAAAAATTCCAGGGATGGGGGATTTTTTCCGGCTTTGAGAGAGTCGTCTTGTTACCCCGGAAACCTCTCATTCCCGGAAGTGCTCTGCACCAATTGTTCCGGCTAACGGGGATATCAATGTACTGTAGCCCAAATATGATTTCAGATAATTTCATTTGGAATTTGTAAGGGCTTCTTGTTTTAGTAAATAAGACTTGGAAATCTTAAAGAGGAACTTCATCTCAGAAGTCACTGGCAATCGTTAAATGTTTACTAATCAATACAGTAAACCCTTGCTATTTGTAGGGGTTAGGTTCCAAGGAATGGCACAAATTGGAAAAACTACGATTAGCCTACCTTAGTGCACTACTGTATACCTATCCTGTGTATGAGAAACCACCAATGCTACTTACCTTTGTATGTGGAAGTTTGGAGCTTGATGAAATCTGGTTACTGAAGCATAGGGAGATCATCAGGACCACTGTTGGAAGATGGTGATGCAGTGGTGGTTGGTGGGGAGGTGGGTGGTGGAGTAGCGGCAGCAGCTGACTGAGCAGGTGAGGGAGATGAATCAGCTGCTGACTGAGTAGGTGAGGGAGATGAATCAGCTGCTGACTGAGTAGGTGAGGGAGATGAATCAGCTGCTGACTGAGCAGGTAAGGGAGATGAATCAGCTGCTGACTGAGTAGGTGAGGGAGATGAATCAGCTGCTGACTGAGTAGGTGAGGGAGATGAATCAGCTGCTGACTGAGTGAGTGAGGGGTGAGGGAGATGAATCAGCTGCTGACTGAGTGGTGAGGAGATGAATCAGCTGCTGACTGAGCAGGTGAGGAGATCAGCTGCTGACTGAGCAGGTGAGATGAGATGAAGCTGCTGACTGAGCAGGTGAGGAGATGAATCAGCTGCTGACTGAGTAGGCTGAGGGAGAGGGAGAGATGAATCAGCTGCTGACTGGAGTAGGTGAGGAGATGAATCTTTGACTGAGCAGGTGAGGAGATGAATCAGCTGCTGACTGAGCAGGTGAGGAGATGAATCAGCTGCTGACTGGGCAGTAGGTGAGGGAGATGAATCAGCTGCTGACTGAGCAGGTGAGGGGAGATGAATCAGCTGCTGACTGAGTAGGTGGGGAGAGAATCAGCTGCTGACTGACTGGAGATGAATCAGGCTGCTGGCTGAGTGGGTGAGGGAGATGAATCAGCTGCTGACTGCTGCTGACTGAGTAGGTGGGGAGATGAATCAGCTGCTGACTGAGTAGGTGAGGGAGATGATCAGCTGCTGACTGAGTAGGTGAGGAGATGAATCAGCTGCTGACTGAGCAGGTGAGGGGAGATGAATCAGCTGCTGACTGAGTAGGTGAGAGAGATGAATCAGCTGCTGACTGAGTAGGTGAGGAGATGAATCAGCTGCTGACTCAGCTGACTGAGAGTAGAGTGAGGAGATGAATCAGCTGCTTGACTGAGTAGGTGAGGGAGATGAATCAGCTGCTGACTGAGTGAGGAGTGAGGAGATGAATCAGCTGCTGACTGAGTGAGAGAGAGATGAATCAGCTGCTGACTGGTAGGTGAGGGAGATGAATCAGCTGCTGACTGAGTAGGGTGAGGGAGATGAATCAGCTGCTGACTGAGCAGGTGAGGAGATGAATCAGCTGCTGACTGAGCAGGTGAGGAGATGAATCAGCTGCTGACTGAGTAGGTGAGGGAGATGAATCAGCTGCTGACTGAGTAGGTGAGGGAGATGAATCAGCTGCTGACTGGTAGTGAGGGAGATGAATCAGCTGCTGACTGAGCAGGTGAGGAGATGAATCAGCTGCTGACTGAGCAGGTGAGGAGATGAATCAGCTGCTGACTGAGTAGGTGAGGAGATGAATCAGCTGCTGACTGAGTAGGTGAGGAGATGAATCAGCTGCTGACTGAGCAGTGACTGAGGAGATGAATCACTGGAGAGATGAATCAGCTGCTGACTGAGTAGGTGGAGATGAATCAGCTGACTGAGTACAGCTGCTGACTTTAGAGGTGAGGGAGATGAATCAGCTGCTGAGTAGGTGAGGGGAGATGAATCAGCTGCTGACTGAGTAGGTGAGGAGATGAATCAGCTGCTGACTGGTAGGTGAGAGATGAATCAGCTGCTGACTGAGTGAGGTGAGGGAGATGAATCAGCTGCTGACTGAGTAGGTGAGGAGATGAATCAGCTGCTGCTGACTGAGCAGGTGAGGGAGATGAATCAGCTGCTGACTGGGTGAGGGAGAGATGAAGATGAATCAGCTGCTGACTGAGTAGGTGCTGCTGAGGGAGATGAATCAGCTGCTGACGAGCAGAGAGGAGTGAGGAGATGAACAGCTGCAGATGAATCAGCTGCTGACTGAGTAGGTGAGGTAGGTGAGGAGATGAATCAGCTGCTGACTGCTGAGGGTGAGGAGATGAATCAGCTGCTGACTGAGTAGAGGGAGATGAATCAGGGTGAGGAGATGAATCAGCTGCTGACTGAGAGTGAGGAGATGAATCAGCTGCTGAGGTGAGCAGGTGAGGGAGATGAATCAGCTGCTGACTGAGTAGGTGAGGGAGATGAATCAGCTGACTGAGTAGGTGAGGAGATGAATCAGCTGCTGACTGTAGGTGAGGAGATGAATCAGCTGCTGACTGAGTAGGTGAGGGAGATGAATCAGCTGCTGACTGAGTAGGTGAGGGAGATGAATCCGCTGCTGACTGAGTAGTGAGGAGATGAATCAGCTGCTGACTGAGTAGGTCAGCTGCTGACTGAGGTGAGGAGATGAATCAGCTGCTGACTGAGTAGGTGAGGAGATGAATCAGCTGCTGACTGAGTAGGTGAGGAGATGAATCAGCTGCTGACTGAGTAGGTGAGGAGATGAATCAGCTGCTGACTGAGTAGGTGAGGAGATGAATCAGCTGCTGACTGAGTAGGTGAGGAGATGAATCAGCTGCTGACTGCAGCTGCTGTAGGTGAGGAGATGAGCTGCTGACTGAGTAGGTGAGGGAGATGAATCAGCTGCTGACTGAGTAGGTGAGGGAGATGAATCAGCTGCTGACTGAGTAGGTGAGGGAGATGAATCAGCTGCTGACTGAGTAGGTGAGGGAGATGAATCAGCAGCTGACTGAGTAGGTGAGGGAGATGAATCAGCTGCTGACTGAGTAGGTGAGGGAGATGAATCAGCTGGTTCTTTCTTGATAAACATTGTGATTGGTAGGTGTTTGCTCTTGGCTTTGAGGTCTTTAAACATTTCCTGGCAGGGGAACCAATACCTGGTTGATTTCTCAGACAATCTTAATTATAGCACTGACACTAGGCAGTCTTTTAGAGGCCATTTCACACAGAAACTTCCCAGCCTGCTTACTTAGAAACATAAAGTAACATCACTTGTGGATAATAATAATAATAATAATAATAATAATAATAGCTGGTCTTTCGTTTCTCAAAAGCACCAGTTCTTTTAAAGAATCCACAAGCGCTCAAAACATTACAAAGTCAAAAACTTGAGAATAAAAAGAAATACTGCGCTACAGTAAAAGACCACTTTATATTTCTTTTGGTTATTGTAGTACTCATTACAGAATATTTATATGAGGAGCAAAAAATAGAATACTGTACATTGTTATTGTCACCAAAAAAAAAGAAGTCTCTGGAATTCTGCCCTGGTTCACCACGCCTTCCTTGTTGGCCATACATTACTGTACTGTTTTTCTTATGTGTACAGTATGGTATATTACTTCTTACTAATTATTTCATGTGCATTTATAATTACAGTACAGTACCTCTTATAGACATTAGTACATTATATACAGTTCCACCAACTTTTGTAATGTTTTAGAATGTAATACTGCTGAAAGCCCTGTTGCAACCATCAGCATTGAGACGTCTGTAGCAAGACGTAGGGTATCACTCACTGATGGGAGTTCGTCCATTCACACAGTTGGCAGCTTCTCCAAACATTACCATATAGTGATTCATGATTTTCGTTGGTACCCCCATTATTTGTTGTTCAAATATATATATGTGCGAGTGTGTGCGTGCGTGGGATGGTGAAATCAGGGCCGGATTTACCTACTTGTGGGCCCCAGGCCAAACTTGTCAGTGGGCCCCAAAATTTATAGAAATGTTTGCATGTTTCAATATATATATATATATATATATATATATATATATATATATATATATATATATATATATATATATATATATATATATATATATATATATATATATATACAGTATTACCCCGCTTAACGCGCTTTCACTTAACGCGTTTTCGCATATACGCGGTGCCTTGCCAAAGCTGAACTTTCACTTAACGCGGCATTTTTCATCATATACGCGGTGAGTGTCCGGCTCGAGAGCTATTTTTAGATTCGCACCACCCCCCACCCG